GGAATGGATCATCACGCAAGTAGTTTGCTTTTTTTTTTGGTTTATGAAAACACTCAGAGATTCTAATAATATTATCTTTATATTATTATGATGATAATTCGTACTGCCTTTTAGATTAAAATGTGATGATGAAGAAGCTAAAGAAGAACCCCCTGCTATTATACATGAGACATTCATAGAACTGGATTGTCATATCACTATAAGTAAGTTCAAGAATTACCGTTTTATTATTGACCCAAAAATAATTTATGCAACTTTTTTATTCAATCAATTCTAGTGATAAATTATTTACAAGATGGAATAAAAGAGGTACAAAAGTAATCCGTTATAGAATTAAACAGAATGCTGGAATAATAACGTTAAAATGACTTCTACCTTAGGATTTTTTTAAAAAAAAACTAGATAGGGAGTCTCCCTCTTTAAAGCGTCAAGCAAGCTACACAAAAACTGTAAAAATTAGTCGATTACCAAAATATCTCACCATACAATTTGTTAGATTCTTTTGGAAAACACAGGAACGTGTCAGAACCAAAATTGTACGCAAAGTGAGGTTTCCGTTAACGTTGGATATGACAGAATTTTGCACCGAAGAACTGCAAAGCAAAATTCTACCTGTAAAGAATAAGTTAGTGGAATTGGAAAAAGAGCAAGAATCTGCAAAAGTTTGTATTGATTTTCATTTTTGAATTTGACAATTATAATAATTATTTAAGTTTTTAATATTACAAATTAGAAAAAAGCAAAACTTGCAAAAAATCCTGAACAAGCCAAAGAAAAATCAACGATAGATCCCGCGGTAGCTGAAGAGATTGAAAAATTAATAGACCCAGAGCTGGCAAAAGATATTGGTGCTAATGTGACTGGATTATATGATCTTTGCGCTGTTCTCACTCATAAAGGACGATCAGCTGATTCAGGTTCAATATCATTTGGACGTATTTGATTTTTTGATATTTTTTAATTCTATTATTATTTAAAAACAGGTCATTATGTTGCTTGGGTGCGTAAAGATAATTCAGGCAAATATTATCATTTATATTACTTTTTTATTGTGCTATATCATTTATAATGTTAATAATTCTCTTAATTAATTCATTTTACAGAAGAATGGATCAAATATGATGATGATCATGTCAGTATTGTGCATCAAGATGAAATACTGAAATTAGATGGAGGATTAGGTGACTGGCATACTGCATACATGCTTTTATATCGATCTAAGGAAATTCCTAAATAGAAAAAATATAAATATATTTTTTCTTGTATTTATGGTTTTTTATATTATTTTTTAAATAAAGGATAAATATTTAATCATGTTATATTTGATTATACAAATTTGCAATGCAAAAATCAAAATTTAAACAATAGAGTGTTAGAACCAAATTACCTTTGAAGGGAGCAAAACTTCTACATCTTTTGGAGAATACATTCGACGA